AGTATAAATATAGGTAAGTTTCAATTAAACTCATGAGCCGAGTATTTCAAGACTCAAGCTCGACTTGATAATGTACTCGAATAGCCCGAGCGCTCGATTCGACTTGAACTGAGTTGATTTCGAGTATTTTCCGAGTCGGTTCTGAATATCTCACGAGCTAGTTCGACTCAGTTACACCCCTACACCCCTAATACATCTTATAAAAAAAAACCATTAGTTTTACTCTTAAATTCACTATGCGGATGTTAGATTTTTTAGTATGGGTGTCGAATTTCGCAGTGCAGATGCCAAATTTTGTAGTATAGATGTTAGATTTCGCAGTATGCATGACAAAATATAGATTTTTCGTAAGTGACATTTGCAAATTTGTAGATTTCATTTGCGAAATCGCAGATGTCATCAACAAAACCGTAGATGGCATCTAAAAATCCACCATGCATATGACATTTCAGAAATTTGTTTTTGCAAATGATTTTGCAGATGAACATTAGAGGAATTCATAGATGTCATTTTAGAAAAAATATCCCACTGAAATGTTTTTGGATTCTTTTAATATATATATATATATTTACCATATTTTCGCTAATGACTACCAATTTTGCAAATGCCCTCTACAAAATTGATGGTTTTTTTTACTAATTTGGCAATTATTTAATTATTTTTTGAAAATAGTTAATAGGATTAGAATCTATATATTTCATTAAACTATGCTAATTATTACCTTAATATATATATATATATATATACATAGTTTTTTTTTGTTTTTTTTTTAATTTTTATGGAGTTATATTTATCAAAAAAATATTTTAAATATTTCAAAATTCATAATTTTTTATTAGGAAAATGAAAAAAATGTGCTACGAACTTTCTAGGGTTAGTCATTTTAGTCCCTAAACTATTTTTGTGGCTTTATGAGGGAACGAAGTCATGGGTAACCTGTCTTTTTAGTCTCATTTACTTCTTATAGCCAGTTTGAGTGACACATAGACGACTTGAGGCCCATCTATCTCCTGTTCATCATTTTCCTATGTGTAATACTAGAGATGGGTTCTCATTTATCCGCCTCTTTACTTGATTTCTCAAACCAGGTCACGTCGAAACTTGTTGGGAAGTCTACAACTTTACTCCCATTTCTCGAATTAAATCATCGAAAGAATTTATTGTCGAAATGGAATTGAAGACAAACAAAAGGTCTGATTTTGAAGCTAAACCAAACATGTGGAAGTTGCCTAAGAACAGTTTTAGTTCTTCCTTCATCATTGAGTCAGAAACGTGACAGATTACAAGCTCGTTCATGGCCATTGTGATTGTGTTCATAGATTCTTGTTTCAAAAAGAAAATGATAGAACATATTTGATATTTCAATACATACTTATGACTTTTTTATCTCGAAAACAGTAACTATAAGTGATTGACCTTCACATGGCTCTACACTAAAGCTTGATATTTCCTGAAAACATAGAAAAGTATCATCTCTATCATTTTATATGTTTCATCTCGAACAAACAGAGTGATTTTGCAACTATGAAGTACTCAATCTAGGAGACAGTAGTACCTTAGTTCCAGGCTTATCAATTCCAAGCTCGAAGAAATTGGAAACAATGTGAGCGAAAACACGTCTAAATTCGTTTAATGTTGCAACTCTGAAGTTGATAAGAGGGAAACGTACTCCTTGCGCTCCATTCTAATCGGTCAAAAACCAGGGAAGTTGATAAGGTAAAGTTTAGTTTGAGTATCAAAGTTACAATTTTAACATTGATAAACCCGGTATGTTAAGTTTCACTCCTTGATATTGAAATCGAACTTTTAAGAAGTTGTATAAATTTCAGATTTGCATTACTAGGTTTAAAAACCAAAAACCAGAAACCAATCGACATTCAGAACTGATGATTTGGATTAGGCCCAAATGGATTTGAACAGGAAATAAGAATTTGGATTGTTTTAAAAGACAGTATGTATAGTGATGGGAGAGAGAAAGCAATTGGAGAGTATGAAAAAGTGTCGATGGTGATAAAGTGGTGAGCAAAAAGGTGAAGAAAGAAAAAGAGGTGAAGATGAATAGTACTGAGTATTGGTCAATAGATGTCTATGTGTGTAACATCCGGAATCTAGAAGGTCAATTATGGAAATAAAACCTCATTTCTAAGGGCCAACTCATTGAGCTTGGGGGAAGAAACTCAACGTGTTGGAAGTGTTGGTCGCGCGTGTTTTCGAAGACCAACTCAACGAGTTGGACGTGGTTTGGGAAACCCTAATTTCGAGGTTTTGCACCCTATTTAAACAACTTAAATCCCATATGTTGGCCTCATTTCCAGCCACCATTGTCCTAAACCCTAACCTTGAAACCCTGAGACATTTTTTAGGGTTGTTATCCATTTTGAGTGCTTTTGTGGTGTGTTTGAAGCCATTGGAATGAAGGGAAGCTTGGTGAGAGTTGGTGATACAAAAAGGAGCTGCTAGATCTCGAATCCTTGCTTCATTTTCGACACTTTTTCTGGTAAAAAGTCTCAACCTTGCTTTGTGAATTCATAGATCTCCTTCTTAGGGTTCTTTTGCATGTTTTGGTCCTAAGGGAGTGGTTGTTGGGAGTTGGACGTCCCATTTGGACAAACCGTTTCATATCTAAGGTCCTAGGGAGCTCTTTTGGCATAAATGTGCCAACTTTATGGTCTTAAGGGCTCCATGCATCCATTAAGCCTTTCTTCTAGCTTATTTTGAGCTTTTGAGCTTCTTCTAGCCTTGCATAAGAGTAAAGTTGAAGACTTTACTCATCAATATAGCCTTAAGGGACCAGATCTGTAATTTGAAGCCTTGTCTTGATGATTTAGTGGCTTAATAGATTAAGTGGGTTTGCTGACTGAAGAACTCGACGAGTTCATAAGAGAACTCGGCGACTTCGTTTGGGATTGTCCCGATTCTGATGAAAATGAGGGGAAAACTCGACGAGTTGAAGGGAACTCGGCGAGTTGGATCGATTCTTTGTGATTTTGCGGTTTGATGAGAACTCGGCGAGTTGAAGGACCCACTCGGCGAGTCGAGTCACCCGGACCGTTGACTTTGGCGTTGGCTTTGACTTTTGACTTATGCTTTTGACAAAGTTTATCCCAAGGGGTGTTTGAGGTAACCTGAATTGTATTCGAGGAAAACATGGGATTAGGATAAGACCCATATGGGATTGGGCCCAATTTGGAAATTTGGGCCATTAGTGGGCTTTTATGGATCTTATAGTTTTGGGCCTTGTTGGTTTTGGGCTTGGGCTTTGGTTGTGAGTCTTGATGGGCCAGGGGTAAAATTGTCATTTTACCCCAAGTTTGGATTATGGATCATGGTTTGGATTTCAGTTTGCTAATTGGATGTTGTTTGGATATTGCTAGTTTGTGAAGTCGGCAGATCAGCAGCTAGGGTTACATGTTGTGAGCTTTAGCATTCGAGGTGAGTCTCCTCACTGTTCGTATGGGTCAAAGGCACCAATG